TGGGTTTGGTGACCTCCAGTGAACCAGCTGGTTTGCAGGTGGTGCTTGGCTAAGTACGGGCTGTTAATGTTGACTAGTATAGATGTCATCAGCTAGTGGTCTTTAAAATTACATAAACTCAAAGCCTGGTAAATTTTACATATTTGGTCTGAACTGTGAAGAATTAATTTATGGATAGAGTGGAGAAATATGTATTGTTATATAAATTCCAACTGTTTTTCTTTTTTCTGTTATTATGAGCAATAGAAATTTGATGAGGAAACCAAAGTTTTTCTTTTGAAGAGGTTGTGATAAGTAGTATCTACCAGCTTGCATCTTTGTAAGTTGACAGCCTGTTTGTTTGCTGGGAAGTAAACCAAAATGAAAACAACTTCTGAAACTAAGGCCATGGAAAGATTTTCCAAGTAAATGGATTGCAAGCCATTAATACTGTTATGGTAATAGTCCTCCAGTTGATCAGTAGTTAGATCAATCTCTATTAAAATTCCAGATGGACTTTTTGTAGAAATTGATAAGCTGGTCCTAAAATTTATATGGAGATACAGACCTCGAAGAGCCAAAATCACTAAAAAAGAATAATGTTCAAGGGCTTGCTTTTCAAAACTTAACATAAAGCTATACTATAGTAATCCAGACTGGATGGTACTGACATACCAGTGGAACAGGATCAAGATTCCAGAAATGAGCCCATATACTTATGATCAGTTGATTTTTGGCAAGTGTGCTAATATAATTTAATGGAAAAAGAATAATTTTTAACAAATCGTGTTGAGACTGCTGGGTGTCCACACACGAGAATAAAATCGGACCCTTACTAAATACACAAAAATCAACTCTAAAATTGATCAAACACTTGCATTTAAGAGCTGAAAGTAAACAAAAAAGCCCCAGCTATTAAACTGTTAGGAAAAAAAACAGGTACATTTTTATGACCTTTGGATTTGGTTTCTTAGCTGTGACACCAAAAGCAGAAGCAGTGAAAGAAAAAGTAGATAAATTGGACTTCCACAAAATTTAAAATTTGTGTTTAAAAAAATACATCAGAAATGTGAGTAAACCCACAGAATGGGAGAAAATATGTGAGAATCACATATCTAAAAATAGTCTAGTATCAAAACAAAGCAGAATTCTTACTTCCCCATCATTAAATTCATACTGGCATGGTAGATTAGCATTATTACCACGTATGGTTTTTAAAGAGATTTGTCTGTGATCATGAGTTCAGTTACCCCCTCCTGGTAAAGGTGATGCCAATACAGTAAGTACTGCTGTATACAGTGAAACCTTGGTTGTCAGATGGCTCCAAGCTCGAACTTTCCCCTACTCAAAACAACAAAGTTCTAGAAAAAAATCTGCTTGGTGTTTGTAACTTTGTTTGATAGTTCGTCTGAAAATCTAGCTTGAAAAAACCAGTACTGGCTGAGAATGAGTGAGGTGTGGCCTCGCCATGGACACAAAGGGGTGACCTTCAGTCTGAGTGCTGCTCTAGCCCAGACAGACAACATGTAGTGTTTGTGTTGGTGCTTTAAAACGTGTTGTCATTGTGCTTTTTTTCCCCCACATTTTATTTGTGTAAAATAGCATAACTATGGCTCTAAAGAAAATTAGTGATACCAGCAGTAAAGCTAGGAGGAAAACTGAGAACCATGATAGAGTGAAAGAAAACATTGTAAAATTTGTTAAAAGTCCTGAAAAAAATGGTTTTATAAGTGTAATTTGGGGGCCTCAAAATCAGCTATTTGGCTTTCCATTATTTCTTATGGGAAAAATATGTTCAGTTCTCTTAACTTTTCGGTGTTGGAATGAATTGAGTTTAACAACTGAGGAATCACTCTACTGTTTTCAAGGGTAAATGAAATTTAAGATACCATACAATAAAAATAGTCTGAAAGCTTGAAAGTTATGGTTCAGTGGACAAGAGGGGAAAAGTACATTTATATCATTCAGATATAAAGTGCTTAGCATTAATATATTGCCTCATTTGTGGTACATCTCTTTAATGTTCCCAACATGTGATGTAAATAATAGAAAATTCTTTGTGTGTCACATGTCTCTCTTCGGCCAATCAGAAACAAGAATTATTTTGTATGTAATAATGAGGTTACTAGGTGAAGAGCTATAAGTAGGACCTGGAGGATACAGTGGCTACATAATAGGACTTCTGAGTTGTAGCAAATAGAAAATTGATCTGCTGTGCTTATTAGCATTTTCAGATTTTCTGACTCTAGAATGTACAACCTTATTTTTACCAATAATAGGTTTTAAAACTTCTTAAGGTAACAGCATTGAGCACTGCTTTTACTTTTGATGAGATAATTTAATGGGCTGTGAAGGAAAAATTCCCAGATATTGAGAGAACAAATTTTACAAAAATGTCTTTGAGATTTCAGTCGCCATCTCCACCAGTTTTCCTTTCACCAGAACCGGTTAATGTAGGTTCTGTAACAAATTCCTCTTGTTCGCTAAATGAGCTAGATAATATTTCCCACCTTTTAAGAAAAATATCAACTGACGTCAATGAAATTAAAGGAACGAAAGCAGCAATTTTGACAGTGGAAGCAAATCTTTTTGACCTAAATGTTAGAGTGTCTCAGAATGAAGCAAAAATTTCCTCTTTGGAGGTTAAAATGAATGAATATTCAGCATCAGCATCTGAATGCAACAGACAGTTGGAAGATTTTCAAGATGAAATAGATTTTGAATTACAATCCAGGGGTACTGATGTAAAAATAATCGACTTCCTTAGAAATACTGAGAAAGGTAAACCCTTTATTATGTTTTCTAGATACTCATCCTTTGATCTGTATATTTCCATGTGTTTTAACTGTAGCTCTGATACATAGGCAGCAAATTGTAGAGAAGTGAAGTTTTCATGGATTTAGGATGTGTGTGATTCAGCTTAAAAGCTTTAAGAATTTCATCTTTAGCGGGGCTCTCTAAAGAGATGTTTTGAAACAATAGATGAATGTAAAGATGAAACAACTTGAAGTGTGACATAATGGTCCTCTTTCGAATATCTGTGTGAAGTTATTTAAAAATGTACAGGCTGGGGATTTGGCTCAGTGGTTCTGGTACCATAAATAAATACATAAATAAATGTATGTATGTATGTATAATTTTTCCTTAGTTATATGTTAGAGACCAGTTGTAGTATTTGAACCTGGTATTTAGATTGAAGAGCATTCCTTCTATAACCTGTAATATGTCAAGCTGTCCCAAAGAATACAGCATGACCAAATGACACCTGGGTTTCACGTCTGTTCCTCAGGATATGTATGTTGTTGTCATGATAATTTTGGAGGAAATTTACCCTTTTTCGGACACACCACGATAGGGTAATGTAATATAATCTGTTTTAATGGAAAACAACCAGTAAAATGTCAAATAGAATATAACTTTTTTTTTTTTTTTTTGGTACTGGAGATCGAACTTGGGACCTTATGGTTGTGCGACAGGTGCCAGAACAACTGAGCTAAATCCCCAGCCCTAGAATATAACTTTTAAAATTTAAAAGTACCCTCTAATGAAAGGTACTTGGTGAGATCACCCACTTACATGTTTGCATGAGCAAGACCTGTCCTTGTGAAGCTACATATAACATACACTGAAAATCAGCACATAAACATCTTACTAAGATTGAAGTGTTTGAAACCTTATCAATTATGTTCCCTTTTTTTACATCATAGTGTAACACTTTCTTCTAAATTAGCAGGTGGTTTTTGACACCTGCTAAGCACTTCGTGGGGCCACAAAGAAGTGTGAGATCCTTTCCATCCTTCAAGCAGCTTGGAAAGATGAAATCAGTTCATTACTGTTTGATGCACTTTGGCCATTAGGAATATTAATAAGAATATTATGGACTTATTGAGAACTATGATACTGTGAGCTTTGTAAAGGATAAATACCCTAGTTAGCCATGTTTTTTGTTTTGGGGGGATTTTTTTGGCCATGTCGTGTTTGAACCTGGGCCATCACACTGACCTGTATCCCCAGCCCTTTTTATGATTTATTTTGAGATAACATCTTGATAAGTTACTAATTTGCCCAGGTTGAGCTTGAAATTGTGGTCCTCCTGCATCGGCCTCTCAAGTGTTAGGATTACAGGAGTGTACTACCATGTCCAGTTTCTGAGCACCTTTTCTTGAAGCAGATCAAAATAATTACATTTATGCATCACATAACAATGGGGATGGTCCAAGAAATGCGTTTCATGCAATTTCACCATTGTGCAGATGTGGAGTGTACTTAGGCAAACTAAGATAGCTGCAGCCTCACTAGGTGATACGATCGTTGGGTACCAGTGTCGTATGTGCAGTCCAGCAGATCCATCGTTACCCAGCACATTGACTATATATTTTCATGTTTTGCTAATATAAGGCCTGGACTGCAAAATTTTGAGTGCCATATTTGAGTGTTACAATTTGCATTTTCCTAAGCTCATAGTTGTCTTTTGGGAATTTCATAATGTGAAAACTCTGTAGTATTTTGTTTTGTTGTCTTCAGAGATGGGAGTTGGTGTAGAGAAGGGGAGCAGTACTGGTCAGAGCCCAGGTGATGGAGGAAGATGCTTATCATGTTTATTTTGGCAGTTGACTGTGGCACATGCCCCAAGTCCTGGCTCTCAAGGACGCCCTGACTGTTCCGTCCTTTACCTTTACTTCTCTTGTAGGCTTTACTGCCTTTCGAGGAAAGCTGGCCCTCTGACAAAGGAAGAACCAGGACTTTGTCCTCATTGCCATTTCTGGTTTAACCCTGAGTGCAACATTTTGTCTTAGGGGGATTAAAAACTGTGGTTTTACAGTTTATTTTTGAAGCTTTATTTTTAAGATTTTTTGTTATCCCAGAAAGATTAATTTCTGGGTAACAAATTCTTTTTTTGTTTGTTTGTTTTTTTGTTTTTGATTTTTTTTGGTACCGGGGATCGAACTCGGGTCCTTGCGGGTAACAAATTCTGATATTTGTGTTTCAAGCTTAGTGAAGTTTTAAAATTTATATTCTAGGAACCCAACAGAGGCAGTTGTTATCCCGACTGCAGATTGACCCAGTAATGGCAGAAACGCTGCAGATCAGTCAAGGTTGGTAACACTTCCATTTTCACTATAAACTAGCAATTTTCTGCTGCCATTCTCATCCCTTACATCTCATTCAGTGCATCTTTTATCATTTAGATCCTTCCCTAAGATCCCACATGTAGATCCGTGAAAGTATGTTAGACCCAAGAGAGATGATCTGCATTTTCTTCATATTGTATGGTGTTTTTGTTTCTTGCATATTCAAAAACTTTCTCTTTTTTTAATGCCATTCCTCCTGGATTCCTGGCTGCTCACTCTTATTGTCATGGACCACCTGAGTCCCTCACCCGACTTGCTCTCTGTCTCTACCCTACATTTGCCATTGTCCTGAGCTGCTTTCGTGTCCTCTGCTTCACCTGTTCATCTTTATCCTTGCTTTGACTTCACTTGGCCACCCCTGGAACTTGTTCCAGAGCCACTGTCACGTCATTGTTTCTCTCTCTCACCCAGACACATCGCAGGCTGCTTCAGGACTGGGGCGAGTGTGTGGTGCCTCGCTGCCTGATAAATGCAGGGAGCCATTCAGTAGCAGAAATCATCTTCTCTGTCCTCTAAGTTTGCCCTGTGTTCTGTTTCCTTGATCCCTCCTCTGTTGGCCCCTTCCTGAATTTTCTCTCTGCCAAGACTTCACCCACCACCCAGACTATTCTATGACCCATTCCAGGCTTTCTGTCTCAGGTGTGATTTTCTTCAAGGATTCACCTCCACCCAGATGCCAGGTCCTGCCCATCTGATGAACACGGTCATGTTGTCATGGTCTCTGCCTCGCCTCTAGCTTCTTTCTTCCACCTGTAAAGTGTTTAGATGCTCTATATCCTTGATTTTGCTCTCATTTTCCAACATTCTATTCTGTTTTCAGTGAGTATCTTCCAAAGAGTTTGACAGTCACGGCCTGTGTGTGTCACATCCACATCAGTTCTCGTGCATTTTTTCTTACTTTTTTCTTTATGTTTACATTGCACATACAGATTGAAGCATCAAGTAGTTCCATGAGGCTTATGAATGACTGCAGTCCTAAACCCCCATAGTGGTTTTTTTTGTTTGTTTGTTTTTCTGAGAGCCTTATGTTTTTGTATATTCTGCAGGGCCTTGGCACTGAGTTACATCCTCACACTCCCCCTTTTATTATTATTTTTTATTTTGAGACAGGGTCTTGCCATGTTGTTAAGTTGCCCAGGTTGGGCTCCATCTTGGAATCTTCCCATCTGGGTCCTCCTGCCTCAGCCAGCCAGAGTACTGCTGGGGGGTAGGCATGTTTACGACACCCAGCTCCTTTTTTTTTTTTTTAAAAACAGACTGATTTTGCTTCTTGTATATATACTTTTTCTTGTATTTCTGAGGATATTAAAGGTGATTTTGACATATTTCCTTTTTTTTTTTTTTTTTTTTTTGGTACCGGGGATCGAACTTGGGTCCTTGTGCTTGCAAGGCAGGCAGCAGAATCACTGAGCTAAATCCCCGGCCCCATCCTTGGTCTTGTTTCTTTCAGCTTGTTTCATGATAAAAGTTTTGCATGTTGGGGGTTCTTGATTATCTGCTATTTAAGTGTGAAGCAATAAAAAGCCGATTGTTGTGCTGGGTTCATGAGTTGGGCCGTGGGACCTTTAGACTTCTTGTTTGAATGTGGATATAGCTCTGGAGAGTGATTTGCTGTCTAGTTTGGAGCATGCTGCTGTCAATGCCTTTAGGCCTTTCAGGCCAGTCCACTTCTTCAGAGGTCTTTGCGGTAAAAGCCTGGATGCTGGCGTTCAGGTAACTCAGAGGAGAAAGGCCTGGGCAGGGCAGCGCACTACAGCGCAGCAGTAATTCCGACACAGTGTTTACCTAACCCCCTCCCCATTTCAGTGCTGACTTCATGCGGCGTGGCTGGCATCCCTGATGCACAGACTCTGTTGATCTTCTCCAGAGGCCATGGGAGGAAGTGTGTAATGGGCAGAAGGCTATTGGGAAATCTGCCTTTGGAACATATTTCCATTGTGTGTGGTGTCTCCAGTGAGGTAGGGGTGGGGAAGGTGTGCTGAAGAGTTCAGGAAGGGCTGACTGCTGCTGCAGCGGACCTCTAACACACTTCTCTTTTGCCCTTTCCAAGGTCCCCTTTGCTGCCAGTTCTTCAGCCTTTGGAGACTCTTGTGATCTAAAGTTGATTGCTTCATTATTGACTGAGAATTCAGTCTTTGCTGATCTACTAAGTTCCTATTGATCTATTTTCTGTTTTCAGAATGTGATTCTCTGCTTTTGCAATTTTCATTGTGGGTTTATTCTTTTTTTGTTAAAACAGAACAAAACTTGGGAGGCCAGGGATTTAGCTAACTGCTGCTGCTGCCTGCCTCGCAAGTGCAAGGTCCTAAGATTGATCCCCGATACCAAAAAAAACCCAAAAAACAAAAACAAAAAACTTTGGGGTTGTAGCTCATTGGTAGAGTGCTTGCATAGCATAATCAAGGCCCTGAGTTTCATCCTCAGCATTTCAGATGGCAGCAAAACCCCTTTGACATTTTTGTAGAGCATAATAGAGGGAAAACAGTAAATGCGTAAGTTCAGTCTGCTCTTTCTCTACTGGAAGATGTCAGCGACTCCCCTAGCTCCTGGATTCCATGTGACCTAGGTTTGCAACACTGAGCTTGCAGAGGTGACCGCTGGGTTGTGTGGAATGGAAAGCTGTGATTTCATTCCACACCCCCCCCCCCCCGTTTGTTTTGAGACAGGGTCTCACTATGTAGTCCAGGCTGGCCTTGAACTCTCAGTGATCCTCTTCGCTCAGCTTCCCAAGTACTAGGAGTACAGGTGTGTGCCAGCATGCCTGGCTTCAGTGCACCCTTGCCTAAACTGTGTACCTATGACACATATGTTCCCAGGTTTTCTTGAGCCTTTGATCCTTTGGCTTTCGGAATTTCACTATTTTCTTTCCTTTTTTTTTTCAATTTTGAGATTTTTCATTTGAAAGTAATCTTAATGCTATTAAATTCACAAATATGCTAATTTAAATACCCAATCCTATTTTATCTAAAACACACGTTGCAAACATACAAATATCTATTCTCTCCACATGTCAGTGCCCATTTGTATCATGGTTTGAAATGGGGAGAATAGATTTATTCCCCTTTATCTGCAAGTCAGTAGGTGTTTCTTTACAGCTAACTTTAGCAAAATTCATACAAAATAGTAATTAACAATGATCTTCTTTACTTGCTAACTCACAAGGAAACACCTTCAAAACTGCATTTTGTTGAAGTTTCTGTACTAAAGTGTAGAAAAACTGAACTACACAAATACTGAAAAGTTAAAAATTCCTTAATTTTTTATTCCTGGTACCACTACCACAATTTACGGGGCAATATACCTGATGTAATGAAAAGAAAAAGAAGCTACAACAGATAAAAGACCTCAGGAATGTATATCTAATTGACACTACATTGCATTAATCAATAGCTGCACTTTTTGCAAACTGTGGCTATGACAGTCCTGAACCAGAAGGGTTTCCTGTTGAAGCTGCAGTAACTTTTCTGACTATGGATCGTCGTTCCTTCTGTGGCAGATTTTTACAGTTCTGCTAATGCATTTGGGACGACTGTCTCAAAGTAACCTGCAGCTTTCCTGACAACTCCTCACTCTCCTGCTAAGAACTGTAGCCCTTTTCTGTTTTTTAAAACCCTTTGCTACCATATCCACCACTTCTACCACCAGATCCATAACCACCACCATAAGGACTACCAGAGCTTCTTCCACCAAAACTGCCCCCTTCATGGGTCTGTAATTTGATTGCTATTGACCACTATAATTTCCAAAGTCATTATAGTTTCCACCATCACCATAGTTACCACCACCAAAATTTCCTCCTTCATTGTAACCATCATCTTCTCCTCCTCCACCATATCCACCACCCTGATTTCCATATCCTGGTCCACTGCCACCGTAGCCTCCTCTACTACTGTAACAGGACCATCGCCACAGTTCCCACCATCACCTCCAAATCCATTATATCCACTGTCACCTCCTCCGTAACTACCTCTGCTGCCACCACCTCCACCACCATAGCCTCCTCTTCCACCAAAGTTTCCACCATGGCCACATTCCCTCCACCACCTCCAAAGTTTCCTCCACAACCCATAAAGTTGCCAGAGCCACCTCCACGACCTCTTTGTGATCCAGCAGACTGCATCTCTTGTTTAGAAAGGGCCTTTTTCACTTCACAATTATTCCCATTAATAGTGTGGTATTTCTGAACAACAGTTTTATCAACTGTCATCATCAAAAGTTACAAAAGCAAATCCTCTCTTTTTCCCACTCTGCCTGTCTTCCTTAACTTCTGTGGTTTCAATCTCGCCATACTTTTCAAAGTAGTCTCTCAAATTACGTTCTTCTGTATCTTCTTTAATACCGCTAACAAAGATTTTCTTCACTGTTAGATGGGCACCAGGCTTTACTGAATCCTCTCTAGAAACAGCTCTCTTTGGTTCCACTACATGCCCATCAACTTTGTGTGGTCGAGCACACATAGCTGCATCCACCTCTTCAACACAAGAGTAAGTCACAAAACCAAAGCCCCTGGAGTGTTTTGTTTGGGGATCTCTCATTACCACACAATCTGTGAGTGTGCCCCATTTCTCAAAATGTTCTCTTAAGCTATCATCTGTAGTTTCGAAGCTCAGACCACCAATAAACAGCTTGCTCAACTGCTCTGGTTCCTTTGGATCATGGCCCTCCTCACCTCTGCGGCGGCTGGAGTTGGGCTGGGGGTGACCGGGCGGCAGTTTTACCTCCATTTTGAGTTTCCTTTTTTTTTTTTTTAAATGATACTGGGGAGTGAAGCTATACTTAGCCCTTTTTAAAATTTTATTTTGAGACAGGATCTTGGCTAAGTTGCCTAGCATTATGTTGAACTTGAGGATCCTCCTGCCTCAGCCTTCTCAGTAGCTGGGATTACAGATATGTACCACCACAACAGCTCTTCTCATTCATTTTCATTCTTTTTTGTCATCTCTCCTCCACTGCTTCCTAGATGATTAGTTTCACCCTGTGTCACATCCTTGGCGTTAGTTTCATCTCTTCAGTATTTTCCCAGCGTATGAACGAATTAGTGAAACTGCTGTACCTCAGAAAGCACATTTGGAGGGAAGGAGGCAGTGGCTGTTGGACCAGTTGCAGGCTCTGCCTTTGCCAGCTGGGAGACCCCAGTGAGTTGCTGAAAAATTTGCGGTGCGAGTTGGTCATTAGTGATGTGGGAAGCAGACTCCTTTTCCTAGGCTTCCCACGTGTATCTAGTGAGGTGACAACGAAATACAGTTGAATGTTCATCTCACTCTTCTGCTTTTAAGTCTCTCCCCCTCCTGAGAGTCAAATCTGTGTTTTTGACTTCCTCATGACATGTAAGATCCCTGCAAAGACTTCAGACTAAATGTAAACATTGAAATTTATCTTTGCTACATTTTTTTTTTTTTTTTTTTTGTACCGGGGATCAAACTTGGGACCTTGCGCTTGTGCAGCAGGTGGTGAACCCACTGAGCTAAATTCCCGGCCCTTCTATCTTTTAAGTCTGCTCTTCTTCGTTTCTTGTACTCCCTGTCTCAGCTTTTCCTCCCTCCCGCTCTCCCCCCAGGTCTGTCTCCCTTTACCATCTGTCTTGTCCTCATCGAGGGAGAGATTTTTCCTTCTTTTGATACTGGAGTTTGAACCCAGGAAGTGCTGAACTACATCCCCAGCTATTTAAATTCATTTCATTTTTTCCACTTTTCATTTTGAGACAGAGTCTTGCTTAGTTGTCCAGGCTGGCGTCAGGCTTGTGATCCTCATGCCTCAGCTTCCCAGAGTATTGGAATGACAGGTGTGCAGCAGTGCAAGTTCTAACACCATTTTCCTGAAAACCAGTTTGATCATACCACTTCCCTGCTGAGGAACCTCTTGATTTCTTACTACTTTTAGACCAAAATTCAAAGTATTGGGAGAAGATCCTTTAGTTTATTCTTCAGCTTTTCTTGGCACTCGCCTGCCCAGCTCACCACACACTCTTCTAGCCATCCTAGGTTTCTCACTTTTTCTCAGATGCCTTATGGAAAAGTCCCTGCCTTTCTCTGTGCATTTTCTCTGCCTGAAGTGGTGCCTTTTGGTCACACTCTCCTAAGTTTATTCCTGCTCCTTCCTTTAATACCACTTCAGTTGTTCATCCTCAGCGAGCTTCCCTGGTTCCAGAGCTGACATAGTTTGCGTTGGTCTCCCAACCCTTCTTCATCCCCCCTTTGGGTCATGCTGTTCTGGTACTGTTCATCTGTTTTTCTTTTTCCTTCTTGTGTAACTAGTTACACTGTTACTCTTAGTTTTGTAGTAAATATTTGTTCCCCGAGTGAATGTCCTGTGAATTTTGTCTTAACTACCTCCTAGCTTTGAAAGAAGTGCCTTGGCATCAATTGGTGGCATGTTGACAAGTTAGCCATGTGTAGATATGTGAGCTTGTAGTTACTTGCATTGAAGGTCAGTGTTAATGCCCATTCATCTTAAAATTCCCTTTCAAAGTAGTCTTCTCTACAACCAGATAAAAATCATGTCAAGTGAGTTCTTTCTTTCAATGTGTGCTCTCTTCTGTATGTGGTCCTGTACAAACTGAACAACAGGTTTTAGAAAAGTAGTTCAGTAATCTGGGTCATCATTCTAGAAAACAGTAAGATTCTTTAATTCTCTATGTCTGTAGTGTGTATCGTTAACATCCCACCAGCAGCCTCCCAGGAGAACCTTTCTGTGGCTCAGGCCAGCGAGTGTTCATTTGAATCACTTGTAATGTGCCCTTTAAAGAAAGGACTGAGTTCTCTACAGGGATATTTGGAGTAGCATAATAACCCTGTTCCCAAACAGAATCAGTGAAGAGTTTTTAAAAATAATTATGGATATATAAAAGACTGACAGTCTTGTGACATGTATGATGTTGGGAATAAAAGATTTATTCAAAAGCAAACATTTATGGCCAATTTTTTTGGCTCAGATTACTATGACATGGAATCCATGGTCCATGCAGACACAAGATCATTTATTCTGAAGAAACCAAAGCTGTCTGAGGAGATAGTAGTGGCACCAAACCAAGAGTCGGGGATGAAGACTGCAGATACCCTTCGGGTACTTTCAGGACACCTTATGCAGACACGGTAGATGGTTTCTTTTTCTTGTGTAGTTAATTTGTGTGCTTAGATAGTGCAGGTTGGCTGTTCCCAGCTTCCCTCTTCCCTGCCTCAGGACCCAGTAGAAGTGTTTTTATTGAGCAGCTATGTCATGAATAGCCAAATTCAGTTTTGAAAAACTGTAGTTTATTCTGCTTATTCAGAAATCCATTAATCTACAAATCACTCAGCATATGATTTAACTCCATTAATAAGATTTTTTTCTTTATCCACACCCATAAAATGAAATCGTAAAGCCAAGTGGCCACAGTAAGTCTTCTAACGAGAATTAGATTGGGTTTGGGTAATTCTTCCCTTAAAAAATGGACTCTGTTCCTTAAAGGAATAAACATACAGATAAGAAAATCAGTGTGGACACAAAACTTCTGGCCATTGTGTTCTGAGCATCTGTGCTAATTTTTTAGCTTATTTCCACATTGACCTAATGAGGATCACGTAGACAGTGGAGTCAGGGTTGAGAGGAGATTGTCTTTAATACAGGTTGGAAGGTCACCAGTGCTGATGCCATGGTGACTGAACCCACTAATGTACCTGGAAGTCCTTCCAACTCTTTTTTTGTTTGGTTTAACTGAACCAAACACAAAATAAGGGAGTGTTAGTTCTGCTCAAGAGCACTTTAGGAGTCTCAGCGTTTTGTGTTTGTTTCCCTAATTCTATGGTATTTTTTATCTGTCTGGCAGAGATCTTGTACAACCAGATAAACCTGCAAGTCCCAAGTTTATAGTGACGCTGGATGGTGTCCCCAGCCCCCCAGGATACATGTCAGATCAAGAGGAGGACATTTGCTTTGAAGGAATGAAACCCGTAAACCAAACTGCAGCCTCAAACAAGGGACTCAGAGGTCTCCTCCACCCACAGCAGCTGCAGTTGATGAACAGGCAGCTGGGTGACCCAGATGGTAGCTTTTCCTACGGTGTGTTGAGAGCTCAGACTTTGTGAAGGGCATCTTTGACTTCGCTATCTTGCATGAGTGTTGATGGTGGTTTTGCATATTATTTGTATTCAGTAGTGGCCTTTTTCTTCTTTGAGACAAAACCACCAAATTACAGTTTCTCCCATGCGTGTTTCACAGGTAGGCTGTTAGTCCTGACTTCCAACTCTGGAGTTCAGCCATGGCCTCTAAAATACCTCTTAAATGTGCTTGCTGAGAGATGAGCCATCATTCTTGATGTCTTGGTTACTTCTGTTTTTTCCCCTTTGGAAACTGTCATTCTTCCCTTCTACCAGCAATAACCTCATAATTAACTTCAGAAAAAAAATTTTGTGTTTTGATGTTCTTGCCACCTCAGTAAAATTTCTTTGAGAGGAGTTTCTTACCTAATCTGCCAGGAAGATTCTTGGAAGTGTAGGAAAGGCCTCATATTGAAGAGTAATATTTAGCACAACTCAGTGCAGACTGTACTGTGCTTTAGGCAGGTGAGTGTTCATCACTGCCTCTTGTCCCGTGGACACCAGGGCCAGCTGCAGCACTCCTGACCCTTTTCATTCATGATAAACATTTTATAGAAACACCTCTTCTAAAGGTGAGATTTTGTTTTTGGCAGTACTGGGGTTTAACCCCAGTGGCTAGGCAAGTGCTCTACCACTGAGTTATATCTCCAGCCCTATTTTTTAATTAATTAATTTTTGGTGCTAAGGATTTTGAACCCAGGGCCTTCTCGCTGAACTACGCTTCAGCCTTTTTTTTCTTTTTTATTTTTTTTAATTTGGAGACAGGGTCTCGTCAAATAACTAAGTTGCCCAGGCAGGATTTGCTTAGAATCCTCCTGACTCAGCCTCCCCAGTAGCAGAGATTACAAGTGTATACCACCGTACTCAGTAATCATTAAATCTTAAAAATGAACTGGTTCAAAGAAAAAGCAGTAATTGATTTTGAAATTTTTCACAAATCTTGGCAGAGATTTGCTCAGTCGCTAAAAAAATACAGTAGGTTTTGGGGGAGATTGTGTTAGACAGACAGACTGCTGTTCTCTTTTGAGTGCTTTCCCTGCTGTGAACCAGTGACATAGTGTGATGCCTTGTGGAGGGAGCTGGAAATAGGAAGAGAAACTGGGAGATGGTAATAATTGCAGCAGATTTCTTGACCTTGTATCTTTTGTCTAAAAGAAGTGGAAATTCTGGTGTTTCTACCACTCTTGATTTTCAGTTTTATAGCTCAGTATTTTGGTCTGTGAAGATGTAATTTCATGTACATGTCGACTTCAGTGTTAGGCTTTGTTGCTGTGTGTAGTGGTGGTGACACTACCAACAACCTGGTAGTCACAATTCTTGCCTGGGTGACATAGGTGCCGTGGCCAGTGTGCAGACACGGGGGTGCGTGAACCTCCCTTCCCATTGGGCTCACTGCGGGCTGGCAGTGTCCGGCTGCTGCCCAGGCAGGGGCCTCCCACAGAGCAGTCCTGAGGAGCCTCTATCCTGTCTCTTCTGCTCCAAGCGGGGAAGCTTTGCTTCCGGCTTGGTATTTGTGTGTTGTTTCTGGATGCTGCCAACAGCATCATCTCTCTCTGTTAAGCCTCTGCCACTGGCCACCATCATGTAGCGGCACAGCTTTTATAGTTTTCACTTTAAAAGTGACTTTGCCTCTTAAACATGAAAAGTTTTAATAACTTACGAAGTAAACGTCAGTTGAGGAAAACTAGAAGCTTGATCTTTGTGCGCATTTCCATCGGAAAGACAGTTTCTTTGTAAAGTATTTAACTTTAAATATTGTTCTTGAATATTTAGCTACTTCAGTCTGTTTGCAGCTAAGCTGCTCTTTGGTCTTTTAATCTTCCATTTGTCCTGTGTCCTTACGTCCATAGTCTAATGTATGTGTAGGAGGAAGGCAAGACATTGTTTTCTTTGCAGGGATGACCAAAAAAAAAAATCAATTAAAAGCTAATGCTTTTGTCTAATGTTTAGGTTTTCTTTAAAACTTAAGAGTTCTTTTATATCCTAGAGCAAAAGCAAGCCACTTACTGACTTTAAATGGTAGTTCAGATCTAGCTCAGGGCTTTGCATCTGAAGAAGACATTATTTTCTCTTTGTATAGATGAGAGAACTGAGGCTTAGAGATGCTAGACAACATCTGTAGCTGAGCTTACTAAGGGGTAGAGGTAGATTTGGTTGTGTGCAGTCTACAGTAGCTGAAGTAAAACTTACTTTCCTATGTAAAGTTGTATTATACACCACCAAGGTGCTACTTTCTGAGTAGGGCTCAGGCAGCTGGTTATGACCTGTAGGTAGAATTTTACTTCTTATATTCAGTGTTCCTAATTTAGGTACCAGCATTTAAAATGTCAGTGTCATGTAAGAAGGTAGATTTTTTTGTTTACTGAAATGGGAAATCAGGCAGCACAGGTCCCATTCCCTGCTGTTCTAATGCGTGACCCGGTAACTGAAGCTGACTGAGAGGCAGCGAGCTCTGCAGATGTTGGAGGGTGCAACCCATTTCTCATCTTTCCTCCCAGCAGACCGGCTCTTTAGATAATCCTCCCGATACCTGGAGTCGATGGTATTTGTGACCCATTTTAGGGAAAATGTTTTTCCCTCTTTTTGGACATTGCTGTGAGGTTAGGGAATTAGGAAAACTTTGAGTGCTCATAATCTTGCTGGAATGAGCATTGGTTCATATTTCTTTAGCCCCTTGGTTTGTGTTTTCAGTTTTCGTGCAGTTTTATTTGGTCCTTACTTGACATCCTTCCCTGTCTTTTATATTTAATTCATTTCTGAAATGGTATTTGAGAATTAGGAGTTTCTGGTGAAAACTTAAGCCATGGTGCAGAGTCACTTTCCCTTTCAAAATGAGAATTATAGTCTCCTTTATGGTAATCTTTTACAGGATGCTTTTACCACAGTTTTAGGCTCATTTATTTCAGGACTCTGAATATAAAAGGAATGTTAAGATCTTAAGACTGGAGTTGGAGGGAAATTTATTAAAGGGGGGCTATGTGTCAAATTGATTATACTTAATGAAACACTTTTAATTCCTTCCCCTTCGTAGCAGAGATGAGTGAACTGAGTGTGGCACAGAAACCAGAAAAGCTTTTGGAGCGCTGCAAGTACTGGCCTGGTTGTAAAAATGGAGATGAGTGTGCATACCACCATCCCATTTCACCTTGCAAGTGAGTAACATCAGAGTGGTGCTGGTTTTCAGTTTAATTTCTGTATCCTACAGGTTTATTTCTTTATTGTGGTTGAGTTTCATAACTACATGTACTGACACTCCTGTGGCCCTCCATAGAGCAGCATGTGTGTGTGTGTGTGTGTGTGTGTGTGTGTGTGTGTGTGTGTGTGTGTGTGTGTGTTGGAAGAGGGGCTTCTTGGTGTCTTAGACTTATGAGGTAGTGAAATGTTGAAGCCCTTTGAGGATTCTGTACATTTAAGGAGATAGGTACAGTATTTGGTAACTGCCCCAGTTAGTATGCATTTTGTTCACAGACATCCTGATTATGTTGAAGAATTGGGAAGAAACTCAGTTATGGGGCATGAAAAAATATTTTACCCTTGAGTTAAGGTTTTTCTTACTAGCTGGCCGATTTAATGTAGTGAGCTTTACTAGATGCAGCATCTCCATGTTTTAACTATTTCAGAGAAATTTTGATGTGGGAATAATACGGTTATTAAAGAGGCCATGGGATGAATCTTAGAGCACAGTGTTTTGCATGTAGGATGTGTGCACTGTATTAAGTGTATTTCATAAAATATAGACCTTACTGTTAAAGTGCCAAGATTCTCATCACCAAAAAACCACCTGCCTTTTTATCAGTAGTTTGGCTTGAACTGGAAGCCTCTTTTGTGTAACTTCAGGCTTTGATACAAACAATTCCATCCTATCTATTGACTGGCCTCATTTAAAAATGAGAGTATTTCTTTTTCTATTCTGCACTTTTCAAAACAAGTAGTAATAGAGTTTAAGAGGACCTTCTACAAGAAACTAAAAATGCATTGAAAATATTAACACTGAATAACATGCTTTTATTTTGTAGAGCCTTCCCTAATTGTAAATTTGCTGAAAAATGTTTGTTTGTTCATCCAAATTGTAAATATGATGCAAAATGCACTAAACCAGATTGTCCCTTCACTCATATCAATAGAAGAATTCCAGTACTGCCTCCAAAACCAGGTTAGTGAGTTTTGTGCACTACTCATTTGGGTAGAAAAATAGAATGACAATTTCTGACTGTAAGTGGAAGAGTTTTAGAAATAATTGACTAGATCAGTTAATATTACCAGTATTCATTCATTCTTTTTTTGAGGCTTGGTCTTGCTATGTAATTCAGGCTGGCCTTGGATTCATTATGTATCTAGGCTGGCCCTGAACTCATGGTGATCCTCCTGGCTCAGCCTCCTAAGTACTGGGATTCCAAGCATGAACCTCCATGCCAGCTATTCATACCAGTCTTTGAAGAGCAAATATGCTTATCCTGTAGAATTCTGAGGTATTTTATCTTGACTAAAGTATGTATAAAACATAAAGCTCTAATTTAAGTGATTGTCACCTCCTTAAAAACATCAGTAGACAGCATTAAAAATTATTTTATCTGGGTGTGGTGGCGAACATTTGTAATACCAACTGTTGTGTTGTTAGGTTAGAACCTATCTTTTTTTTTTTTTTTTTAATTTGGTACCAGGGATCGAACTTGGGACCTTGCGCCTGCAATGCAGATGCTGGAACCACTGAGCTATGTCCCCGGCTGAACCTGTCTTAAAATAAGGGCTGGAGACATTAGCTCAGTGATAGAGTGCTACCGGGTTCAACTTCTGGACCTACGAATAGATTTGATCAGTCTTTGTTCTTATTTTTCTCAACAGTTACAACACCAGCATCTCCTTCTACCAGTCAGCTCTGCCGTTACTTCCCAGCTTGTAAGAAAATGGAATGTCCTTTCTATCATCCAAAAGTAAGAACTTGAAAAATCAATTTAATGGTAGCTTCTCAGTCTGAGGTCTGGAAGATCACTAAGAACACTGAATGTCTTATATGTCGTCGTCGTCGTCGTGTCCCC